ATATATAATAAGCTGCAAATACGGTAGATAGCATATACGATATTAAAATTTATTATAGTGGACGAAACTGGATTCATTCACACCGTATATGCACTTTACATACCGTAAATGCAACATACCGTATTTATGCATACCGTATTTACGCTTACCGTATATGCAGCATATCGTATATACAGCATACCGTATATATAGCATATCGTATTTACAGTATACCGTATTTGTATCATACCATATATACAACATACCTTATTTGCATCATATCGTATTTACAGCATACTGTATTTACACATATTATCTTTAGATACCGTATTTGGTAGATATTGATTTTTGTAATTCAATATTGTTTTCTTTTTTATAATTGTATTTTCGAGAATTTAAAAAAAAATGTGATTATGAAATTATTAATTTTTAAATGTATTTTTTTGTTGAAGATAAAAATGATTTTTTATGCTCTTTGTAAAAAAAAAATTGTAATTTTATTAGTGTAATAAGAAGATTTATTACGATTATTTAAATTTTTTTTTTAACACAACACAACAAATCCATATTTTTAACCTGGTGATTGCAAAAGTCTTTTGTGTATCAATAAGGCATTTCCTATTTAAAAAATAATGCCAAATTTTTTGGCATCATGCTTTCATTTTCTTCCTTTCACAAGTTTTACTTTTTTGTTTTTATCTTCTTCATTTTTTTAGATTCTTTTGTTGTTAGAAATGATTATTTCTTTGAGAGTTTTTTTTGGTATTATATTGAAGTTAAACTTCTTCTTGTAATTATATTGTTTTATTAGATTTAATGCATATTTTTAACTAATCAAATAACAAACAAAACAAATATTAGGTTACATGATTAAATTTTAAAAATAAAATAAAAAATCATTGCATGACCGTACAGATTGTATTATAGCATATACGGTAAGTTATATGTTGTAATATGCATATTGCTGTAATATAACAAAAAAAAATTGTACAATAATAATTTCTCATTATATTATGCTGTACATTGTATTATAGCATATACATATAACATGTTATATCCTAACTATAACATATAGTATTACAGCATACCATATTTGCACATATTGTCTTTTGACTAATCACCAACATTTGTTATAAATAAATTCAAGTCCCATGTAATGCAAATTTAATTCATATTAATTTGCACAATTGTATTCTTAATAGAGACATTGCAGTAATTTAATTTGCTCTAGAATGACTTCAAAGTTATTTTGCACCGACATAAGAAATTTCAAATGTATAATATGTGCTCCTGCATAATTAGTCCATTTATTCTGAAAAGAGGAAATAGAGTCATGAAGCAAAACAAGAAGACGAGACATGAAAGAACATTTAATTCATATTAATTTGCACAATTGTATTCTTAATAGAGACATTGCAGTAATTTAATTTGCTCTAGAATGACTTCAAAGTTATTTTGCACCGACATAAGAAATTTCAAATGTATAATATGTGCTCCTGCATAATTAGTCCATTTATTCTGAAAAGAGGAAATAGAGTCATGAAGCAAAACAAGAAGACGAGACATGAAAGTCGCAGTCTGCGTAAATGAGTGAATTCATTCTCTTTTTATTAGCTATTCGCTTTTCATCCTTTCTTAATAGTTGAACCAATTTCACTCTCTCTCTCTTATTATTGAGTCTATTCATTTCTCTCGATGAGTCAATCTATAAACAAGCACCACAAAAAGCTAGTATGTTTAAGAAAATAAAATTGACCAAATTCAAAAAGCTCTTTATATGGATCCTTAAAACTAACATGCAAATTGCCAATTACAATGTTAAGAAATTAAAAAAAAAAATCTTATTGTTAAGAAGGGAGAAAAAATGAAAAATCATTTATTGCATTTTGATCAATTAAAAGTCAAACATTTAAAAGCCAAATATTATGATCAGTAGCCTTCTCCTCTCTCTTAAGCATTTCATCAAACAATTATCTAGCTCCATTCACCATTTTGAAGCATCATTTTGATCATAATATATAATGAAACCAAGCTCATCTAAAACCCAAATTACAAAAAATCTGAAGCTCAAACATATATAGGAAAACACCTGTCAATGGATTTTTGCCAAAGAATATGAGCCAATAATATGCAATCAAATTAAAAACATAATCGAGCATAATGTCAAGAAATATCATACCGAAAATTTAAAATAATTAACAAAAACTTTAAATTCATCTAAAAAATGCTATGAAATGGATTCGCCAAAAGAAAGTTAAAATCCCAACAAAAGCATAGCTTTCGTACAGCTAATTATTTTCCTACAAAGTATTGCGTGATCTTAGTCCGGTAAATTGACGTTAATTTGATAAATTCATTTTTGTTGGAATGTCGAGAAAAGTATTGCTTTAGTGTGATCTTTGATGTTAATTTGGTGAATTCATTTTTGTTGGAATATCGAACATTTAATTTTGCTAATTTTATTGTGGATGCTTAAAAAAAATAAAAATAAAAATTGCTCCGTACTTCGTGGGAGCAAAGTGCGGAGTTGCTCCCACAAAGGGCGTAGCAGTGCGGAGTTGCTCCGCACTTTGGTCACTTGCGGCAGCACGGAGCAACTCTGCACTGTGCAGAGAGATCAAGTGATCTCTCCGAACTATGCGGAGAGTTTTTTTTTTTTGTTAATCTATTTTCTTGTTCGTTTATTATGTAGGAATGTATACATATATATTATATATCAAAGGCAAACTAAAAAAAATAAAAAATCATATAGCTTGAATTTAAGAAAACCAAAGAGAATAAAAAAGAAAGATAAATGGGGGGGAAATCGTAGCTCAGTGCGTGCGGAGCATCCGAAGAGTTTGAAGATACCTCGACATTGGTGAAAAATTATGGTAATCTAAAAAAATAAAAAATCAAATAGATAAAACGAAAAAAAAAACCAAGAGCCGAGAGTTTGAAGAGTTTCTCCAGAGATTTTCCAAACTCTCCCCACAGTTCAGAGAGATCAATTGATTTCTCCGCATAGTACAGAGAGAATTTTTTTTTTTTTGGTTAAGTTATTTTATTTGTTTCTTATGTAAGAATGTATACATATATATTATATATCAAAGGTAAAGTAAAAAAATAAAAAATCAAATAGTTTAAATTTAAGAAAACCAAAGAGAATAAAAAGAAAGATAAACATGAAAAAAAAAATCTAGCTCCGGAGAGTTTGTAGATAACTTGACATTGGTAAAAAAATATGGTAATATGAAAAAATAAAAAAACAAAATAGAATAAAATGAAGAATAAAAAAAAAAAGTTCTCCAAACTCTCCGCACTGTGCGGAGAGAGTTGATCTCTTCGCACAATTCGGAGAGATCAGTGCAGAGTTACTCCGCACTCTTGTGCGGAGTTGTCCGTAACTCCGCACACTTTGTGCGGAGTGTGTGGAGTAACTCCGCACGGTGTGGAGCAAATTTTTTTTAAGCATCAACAATAAAATTAGTAAAACTAAATGTTCGGTATTCCAACAAAAATGAATTCACCAAATTAACATCAAAGATCACACTAAATCAATACTTTCTCGATATTCCAACAAAAACGAATTTACCAAATTAACTTAATTTACCCAAATAAGATCAGACAATACTTTCTAGGAAAATAATTAATTATTCAGCCTAAACAAGAAGGTGGAAAGAAAATATGCATTTTTTAATACAATTTGGAACAAAATCTAAATTAATTCCATAAAAAAAATGCGAAAAAAACACTACTAACCATTACAACCAGCAAAAAAAAATTTTGAGAAGAAAATGGAGTAGAAAGAGATATTTAAATTCATACACCTCTTCAACTGCCTAAATTAATCAATATAAATTATTGTACCTGAAAATAAGGAGTATGGTTGCCTAATATGGTTGCCGAAAATAAGGAGCAAAAATTGGGATGGACGTGAGCTAAAAAAAGAAGGAAAAAAAGAACTTCAACAGTGAAAAGTAAGAAAAATATATAGAAAAAATGACTCAGTTTCTTCTCTCTTATACAGTAAATTGGGATTCATTTACTGTTTCATCAATAGTGGCAACTCGTTCAGCTTTTAATAGAACTTAGAAATAATGTAATATTAGTTAAGTTACAATTCTTAAAAAATGCATACACCATAGCATGATTAACATATAATATAAGTCACAATATAAAATAATTACATACACCGTAAATGGTTTAACACTGAGTATAAGTTGCAATTTCAAAAAAATTTACATACATTAAAAATTCAATAATTAGCAAATCATAAAAAAATGCAGGGATGTAATATGATTATTAGAGAATTTGTAATATGAATTGCACATTTATTAAACGGAATAAACAAAATGTAAATTACAAATTATTTTAAAGAATTACATATAATTTATCAAAATATTTTATTAAAAAATTATGTGCATGTTAAAAATTATATAGGCTTGGTTTGACTCGTATTCTTTAAAAAAAATACATTCTTAAACAGTGATTTGATATCATAACTCTGTTTGTTTCCCATTTATGTAAAAATGAGAATAAAAAATATAGTCGTTACGGACTCCACACAAGATATAGAAATTCAAATATGATGGTTTGATATAATGAATAACGGTCATATTTTTCATTTTAATGAAAAAAAATGGAAAACAAACAGAGGTCATATCAACCACACATTTTTAAATAAAATAATATTACAAATAAATTCAAATTTTTTATATTTTTTAACTACATATTTTTTATCAATACACTATTTAAAAATACGTTCTTATAAAAATAACATGGTACAAACAGGGCATAGAATGTAATTATTGTATATTCCTTTAACCACTAACTTAAATTTTTTATTTTAAAATATTTACCAAAAATTGATATTGTTTGTTCATCCCCGTTACCGTTTCTTCCCTATTTGTGTAAACTGCCCCAAAATAAATCAATACTATCATTTGGGCAGCCCATATACAATTCAAAAACCCATACCCAGCAGGCAGCCACACCAAAACCCCCACAGAAATGATAATGCAAACACGGCCTAATTGGGTCCTATAAATATTCTCTAGGTTTTAGGTTTTGGACAGAAGAAGAGAGCGAAGGAAGAGGAGAAGCAAAAGCTTCGAAGGCGCTTACGGCTTAGATACTACTTTTCTCTCTTCTATCTCTTTTCATTTCTGAGGGTTTTTCACCTTCTCTCTAGGTTTTCAATATGAGCAACAACGATAGCTTGAATATGGCCGATCTTGGTGCCGGTAAAAAAACTTTGACCAAAACCTTGTCTTTTTTTTTTTGGAAATATTGTTATCAGCCTATTGTACTTAATTAGATACTTAATAAGCTTATGTGTAGATGTATATATATGTTGGAATTCGTGTTTTTGCGTTTTACGAGCGGTTTTGACATGTGATTAATTGGCTGATTGTTTTGTAGCTTTGAATGCAGAAAATAGAGCAGACCTTGTAAATGTTCTCAAGGTGAGTTTATTTTTCCCTTTTTAAGGGTCCAAAACCTTTTTTTTTCTTTTTTGGCGTCTTTGTATAGATTTGATTGAGGCTGATGTAAGTAGTTGGTTATTATGTAGAATAAGCTTCAGGATCTTACTGGGAAGCACTCTGATGTGCTAGAGAATCTATCTCCGAATGTCAGGAAGCGCGTTGATGTGCTCAGGGGTATTCAGGCATGTTCTTGCTCCCGGTTTTCTGTTAAACTTTTACCTGTTTGTTTGTGAAGCTTGAAAGTTGTTTTGTTTAAGTGGCAATACTCCGGTTGAATTTGCTGATATAAGTTGGTTATGAACTGATAAACTTAAGAAAGAAAAGTGATTCCGGGTTATGTGAAGGGTTTGATGAGTTTAAACTAGCCTAAAGTATTAGGCTACTACTTGATTCTGAGGTAAAGAACATATCTATTATGTATCTGGTCATTGACATTTTGTGGTTAATAGTTATTCAACTTTGGTTGATAAAACACATATTTGTTAAAGAATGAATAATAACACCAGAAAGTGAGATGTCGCCCTGTAGCAACTAAAAAGTAGAGAGAAATGAAGAGGAAACTTGAAACCTGAGAATAAAGATTCTTGGGCAAAGTATTTGTAAAGTAGAGAGAAATGAAGATTAAACTTGAAACCTGAGAATAAAGATTCTTGGGTAAAGTATTTGTAAAGTATAGAGAAATGAAGAGGAAACTTGAAACCTGAGAATAAAGATTCTTGGGCAAAGTATTTGTTAAGAGAGCAGCAGGTCTTATTTGTTAGAGATAACTCAAGTGTGCTCTTACTAGGGCACGAGGGCAGGAGCACTTAAATAAAGCATAGACTTCAATATTGGTGTAACTCTAAAGTACAGAAAGATAATATCACCCCTACTGCACTGTATGGCACTCATGATTTCTTTCCAATGAAGATGAACTTGTAGAAACAAAGGATAAAGTAGTTTCCATGGTAAAACTAAATGAAAAACTAAATAAATGACCGCTTGAAGCTTCATGGTTTCAGCGATCCAAGTCATCTTTGTCAAGCATCATAGATGCTGCTGCATCAATTAGCATATACTGCTTGGGAAACAATTTGATATGCTATTGTATTTTTGTGTCCTGAAGTTCTATCAAATGTGAGTTATTGCTATACATATCTTAACATGTAATCAGTAATTGTGTCTTGAGTATTGAAAAATGTTCACGTCCTTTAAATTTTGGGAACTTTACAGAGTCAGCATGATGAATTGGAGGCAAAATTTTTTGAAGAGAGAGCAGCACTTGAAGCAAGATACCAAAAGCTTTATCAACCTCTTTATGCCAAGGTCTGTGTGCTTCTGGCTTGCTATGTCAGGTCTCACTAATTATGGGACTCCAGGGAATATTTTCTTTTGTTTTAGTATCTTTAATTGGATAATATGTAATAATATGTCTAGAGATATGAAATTGTTACTGGAGCTGTTGAAGTTGAAGGGGCTACTGCTGACTCTGAGGAGAAAAACAAAGAAGACGAGAAAGAAGCTGAAGGTATGTTCTGACGCTAATTTAGGCCTCTGTATTGATGGTGACACTGCTTCAAACTTCTACATTTTTGTGCAGAGAAAGGAGTTCCTGATTTTTGGCTCACTGCAATGAAGAACAATGAAGTCCTTGCTGAGGAGGTTAATTGTTTGAAAAAGAATTTACTATTGCTATTTGTATATATTTGTATTTTGATCTTTCATTTATCTTAATATTGTTTTCTGTTCTATGTTGGACCTAGATTTCTGAGCGTGACGAAGGGGCTCTTAAATTTCTTAAAGATATAAAGTGGTTCAGAATTGATAATCCTAAGGGCTTCAAGCTTGAATTTTACTTTGATACTAATCCATTTTTCAAGAACTCTGTTCTGACTAAAATTTATCACATGATTGATGAAGATGAACCCATACTGGAGAAAGCAATTGGGTAATTTTCTTTGCTGCTCCACATTTGGTGGACAAGTACTCTTCTTCGTTGTGTGTATTTTGAAAATTCTCTTCTTCAACTTTGTTCAAACTGTGATAATTACTATGTAGGACGGAGATTGAATGGTATCCAGGAAAAACCTTGACACAGAAGATACTTAAAAAGAAGCCTAAGAAGGGTTCGAAAAATGCCAAGCCAATAACTAAAACTGAACAGTGCGACAGCTTCTTCAACTTCTTTAGTCCACCCCAAGTACCAGAGGAGGATGAAGATATTGATGAAGATGCTGTAAGCAATTGTTGTGGTGGTGTTCTGGAGATTTTTTTTAATATATTGTTAATAATTACCATTTTTGCATTTTGACAGGCTGAAGAACTTCAAAATTTGATGGAGCAAGATTATGACATTGGGTGAGCCAGAAATTTTGATGTTATCCATCTGCATTTTTGAATTGCTACTATAATTGTGAAACTTCAATTTATACATAGAGTAGAAGGAAAGGCGGGTAGAAAATGAGCATTAAATAAATGTTCTTGGCTAATCTTAGTCAACTTGTTAGGGTCTGCACTTATTTTACTATTCTGATCAATTTAGCAGAAACTACTGTTGTTTAAAAGTTTTGCAGCCACCAATATTTTTATTTACCTCTTAGTTGATCAACTGAATAATGCAATGTTTATTTTCTGCCTTATTCCATGTTCCATGACCAGTCTCACCTTGAATCAATTGATAAAATGCAGTCTAATGGAAATTAGAGTTCTGTCTATGTTTGTAGGCTTTCACTAGCATCAAATTTGTAAAACTCTCTCCATATTTAAAGCTGATAACTATCAGCTAAACAACCCAAAGCTAATCACTGATGAGGATTACCATAATCAAAATTAGTTATTTTGTCACAAGTTGATACAAATGTAAACAAAACTGAATTATTTTGTATTCTCTGTGGTTTGTTTGTTTTGAGAAAGCAATGAAAGCATGGAGTCCACCTTTTCTTTAGGGTCCGTTTGATTGCAAGAATGGAATTTGGGTGGAAAAAACGAATTCCAAGGAATTGAATTGCTTAGAACTTGTTTTATTGGGAATTGTTAATTAAATGTGTTTGATTGATATGAATTTTGAATCTTTTGGTGTTCGTTTGACTTTGTTTTCCATCAAAATTTTCACTTAAAGGGATATAATTTGTTTCCATTGCCCAAAAAAAAGTCCAAAAAAAATAAATAAACCTGGAAATTGATTTCCACCAATTCAAGGACAAGGGGTCATGTGGGCGGGGGGATAAATTCCAGGGAAAATTCTTGCAATCAAACGATGAAAAAGATGGAAAATTCCCCCATCAAACAGGTCTTTATTGATTTCGCTCGGGGTAAAATAAGAAGACCTAATATTGTCTTTTCTTGGATTCAGCACTCTCTGCTAAACTAAGGCTAACGAAAAAATGTCGTGCTGTAATTTCTGAATGTGAAGCTTGAAGAACTTAATGTGGCCTATGTTATATACTTTGTTGCATTTTAGATGCTTTTTAGGGCTCCTTGTCATTATTATTGAGTAAGCTTGGTTGGTCGTATAAAAAGCTTACAATGTTTTGTAGGTCAACTATTCGAGATAAAATTATTCCCCATGCAGTGTCCTGGTTTACTGGAGAGGCTGCTCAGGAAGAGTATGGCGATATTGAAGATGACGAAGACGAAGATCTTGATGACGAAGACGATGAAGACGATGAAGATGATGAAGATGAAGATGATGAAGACGATGATGAGGATGAAGATGAAAGCAAGACAATGAAGAAGGTAATAAGATATATATTCTCCTTCATTGTTATTCAATGCATGCTCCTCCTCTTGTCAAATCTGTCCTGATGCTAATACTTTTATGTTTTGTCGTCTCAATTGACAGCCATCAGCTGTGCGCAAGGTGCGATTCTTTATTCCATTGTATTTCCTCATCAATCTTTTTTCCAATTTCCCTTTCAAATACTGACTATTCTTGTTGCTGTGATATGCAGAAGAGTGGAAGAGCACCAGCTGCTGACGGTCAGCAAGGTGAGAGGCCTCCTGAATGCAAGCAACAATAGTTGTTTTTGTCACCAAAAAATAGTGGATTGGGTGTGGCTCTGGCGTGTTTCAGATCATATATATTTATATAGTTCTAGTGGTCTTCTAGTATTTATTTTCTCTATCTCCTATTATTCATTACTTGGGAATTTTTTTCATTTTCGGTTTCTTGTTCGAGAGGAAGTGATTTAGTACTAGATATGATGTCCCTTGATTTTGATGCTACTTGTTGAATTCTGAAGCCTGTTGAAGCTTGGTGTACACTCGTTTTATGGTAGTAAGTATTTCTTTGCTACTTTCTTTTCAAAAATTTAAAGTTCTGTCCTCATTTTTCTTGTTTGGGTTTCAGTTCAATTGATAGATGGGCCCGTGCTTAATCAATATGAAATATTTTCATGATTTTCATGTGAATGCACCTTTTTGTCTTGCATTTGAGGTACTAAGCCCCTGTTTGAGCTGCATTTTTCAGAACTTATTATTAACGACACATTCTCATATATAATAATTTTACACGTGAAAATCATTTAGTCTCCTATATTTTAATTACTCATTCTCTACAAAAATCATTATTTCAAAACATGTTTTCACTTTTCACCAAAAAATGAGGCTTGAACAAAGGCAAAATATGTTAATTGGGTTTGGTGTGAAATTAACTCCTTGTGCTCTTCGAGTGAAGGGAAAGTTGTTCCCTTGCTTGAAGTGTAGTGGAAGTCGAATTGTTTTAAAGTTTCTATTAATATGCTGCAATTTCGTTATGAGAATTTCAAATGTTTAGTGCCAAATTGTTGAAGGCACTTCTCTTGCAAAAATTTCATGCCTGTTACATTTATTTGGAAAAATGCATTTGGTTGCCTTAGTTTTAAAGTTCTATTAATTTGCTGCAATTTCATTATGAGAATTTCTAATGTTTAGTGCCAAATTGTTGAAGGCACTTATCTTGCAAAAATTTCATGCATGATACATTTATTTGGAAAAATGCATTTGGTTGCCTTATTTGCTAATCAATTTGATGCAAATTAGCTAGCAAATGTGACTATTTACCATTAAGGGCCTGCTTGATAGGGCTTTTTATTATTATTATTATTATTATTATTATTATTATTATTATTATTTATTTTTATTTTTGGTAGAAGAGCTCCTTAAGAAAGTCGCATTGGAAAATTGACGCAAATAGATCCTATTCTATGGGATTGCGACACAGTAACACAAATGTACTCAAATCAAATCTTGGTGAAACTAGTTCTAATCACAATTGATCCTTTTGAATGTTGATGTCAAATTGAAAGTATACTCATCATACCAAGCAATCAACACATCCTAAAAGCATTTTAACATAATCATGGATTGCTTAGAAAAAAATTGTGCAATGTAAGCAAATTAAAAAAGGGTAATTGGCACAAAACGTCTATCTTTCAAATTTATTGTGGAAAACGTCTGTACCTTCTATTTTTTGGCATTTTCGTCCTTACTTTATACATTTTTTTGCGTTAAACGTCTTTTTCATCATTTTTTAATGTAAAATGTTCAAAATACCTTCCTATTTAAATAAAACAAAAAGAAGGAAAGAAAAATAAAGAATAAATTACAGTCTTATTTCTAAATATTTTAAAAAGTACAAGTGAGTCTAAATAATTATTAAAATGTCTAATAGCACAAAACGTTCCTACGATTGACCTATAGTGTGCAAGTGCAAAATATTCCTACGTTTCAAATTGGTGAAAAATGACGTTTTTCGCAATAAAATGTAGAAATAGGGATAAAAATGAAAAAAAAAATTGAAACTTAAGAACGTTTTCCACAAGAAATATCAAACGTAGGGATTTTTTTTACTATTAGGTCTTATTAAAATATTAAAAATAAAAATAAAAATAAACTCTCTCTCTCTCCTCTTCTTCTTCAAATGGGTTAGCCACCTTAGAGGCCAGAAAACTCCAACAAACAATCATCCAAACTGCTGAACCACTATACCACCAAAAAATCCTCACTTCTCTTTACACATACCACCCAACATCCAACCTTGAAACCTTTACGTCAATAGATTTGTTTAGAATTTTAAGTCAAAATACACAACTCGCGAATGCAAATACTGGTGGCATCACCTATTTTGGGAGAGACCCATAAAACACACCAATCGACTGTACTCACTAGGACGCATCTCTTCATGGTCGTAAAATATCAATAGATGGTTCAACGGTATCGAGGTTCGTAGTTTAGGCGATGGATGGTCGAAATTTTTTCACTTCTAACGTAGCAATCCCATTTAAAGGAGAGAGAGAGAGAGAGAGAGAGAGAGTTCTTTTTGTTATTTTTAATATTTTAATAAGACCTAATAGCAAAAAAAATTCCTAGGTTTAATTTTTTTTTTACGTTTTCATTGCTATTTCCACTTTTCATTGCTCAAAACGTCATTTTTCACCAATTTTGAAACGTAGGGACCTTTTGCACACTATAGACCAAACGTAGGGACATTTTGTGCTATTAGACATTTTAATAATTAGTTGGACTCACTTGCATTCTTTAAAACGTTTAGGAGTAAGATTGTAAAGTATTTTTTATTTTTCTTTCTTTTTTGTTTATTTAAATGGGAGGCTATTTTGGTTATTTTACATTAAAAATTGGTGAAAAGGACATTCAGTGCAAAAAAAAAAATGTGGAATGTAAAGGCGAAAATGTCAAAAAAATGAAAGGTATGGACATTTTTCACAATAAATTTGAAAGGTAAGGACGCTTTATGCCAATTATCCAACTTGAAAATATAATCATCATATCAATCAACTCATCATGAGAGCATTTTAACATAATCATGGATTACTTAAAAAAATTGAACAATGTTGCGTTTCACCACATGTGATTCCACGTGGCAAGCCCAACAAGGCCCATTAGTCGATTACTGGACTAGTCGACCCACTCAAATAGGAGAACCACATCCATCGAAGCTATCTGCACGATGACGAGGCCCTAAAGCTTACATCTGAGGCTCATTGTATTTCCTTTCTGGAAGTAAAAGTGGTGAAGAAGGCCAACAAAGTCAAAATTGAAGGCCAACAAAGTCAAAATCGAAGCCCAACTATAGCAAGTAACGATCCACATGTGAAGATCTTAAATTTATATATGAAATCCCTTTGAAATGATTGATGAGCTTTTGTAATGAGTAAAATGTCTTATTTTGTCAGTTTAGGCAATAAAATGACTGCTTTTTGTGAGAGTATTATTAAATGTGCTACAAGTTAGGAAGGTCAAATTGATGTCTAAAATTCTATGCTCCATCTACGGAGATGAGGCCATGTGGATTTTCATCCAATAGACACCATTTCATTTGTAACACTATTAATACTCTTTCCATGTATCATTTGAGGACCAATGCAAATCAATACACTTGAAGCTACCATTTGTTTTCTTTGTTGCTAATTATACACTTGTTTTTGCTTAACTTAAGATTAGCTTTAGTTACGTTATTGACAATTGGTTTTTATCATGCAATCGATCTCAAAATAAATTGCCAGAGCCCAGAACATATTTGTCTCGTGTTATAAAGCATCTCCGCCATCCAAGCTCGAAGTATTATCTACTAGCATCCTGTCAATACGTGTTAAAATTCACTTACGTATATACGAGTGGGTTCGGTATCTATTGTTCACGTCATCCTAATAGAAAACGAGGTCAACATACAATATAAGCAAAAATGAAAATATAATCATCGTACCGATCGACTCTTAAGAGCATTTTAATATAATCATCGATTGCCTCTTAAGAGCATTTTAATATAATCATCGATTGCTTAAAAAATTGTACAATCCAAGCCAAACTGAACGGTTCTAAACTTTTCTCTATAATACTAGTTGAAGGTTAGGGACATTTCCTAGCAACCGCAGAGGTCAGGAACCATTTGTTCCAATTCCTTTATTTAATTGGATTGTGATGGAATCAGTGGTAAGACTCAATAGCAATTTGAAAATAAGTGTTCTAATTTTATATTATTAATTCAAGATGAGCATCTAAGGGGGTGTTTGGTAGGACTTTAAGCCAATCAAAGTCAATTTTTTGACCATTATTTTACTATTCTATCCGTTATTTTTGAATTCATTTCTCACAGATAGGACCCACTTTTACCTCTAACGGTCAAAAAATCAATTTTGAAAATCCCTATCAAACACCCTCTAAATGTAACTCCCTCATAGTTAAGTGACCCTTTTACGAGTTCTAAGAATTTAAGCTATGAAAATTGATTTCATTTGTCATTTTTGGTAAATGGTGGTGTTTCTACTTTTCATCGCCATTTATGTAGTCTTTTCTATTTTATTTTCTTTTCAAAATCAAGGAATAACTTCATCAGTAAATATAAAAGTAACTTCTAAAACATTATCAAGGCAATAAATTGCAGAACAATTATGTAATAATGTTTTCTATGCACACCCTATTGAACTCTATAATATTATTAGAAACATATCTTCACATTTCAAAAATATCACTAAACTTCCCTTGTTTTTAATTTTTTGGTGGGGATTTGATTTTTAGTAAATTTTGATAAAAATTGATGAAATGTGCGATTCAAAAATTGTAGATCCCATAAAATGCGTGGTTAAAATAATTGTTGACTATGACTTAAATTAAACTATAGTTTTATTTTCATCGAATAAGGGCAAACTTTATCACTTTTTCAAATATCATCTAAAATGAGGTTACCTTCGTGAAATTTTTATTTTATAACAATTTTACTTCAACATGTTTTAAAGGTGATGCTACTTTTATCATACTGCACGTTTTCTTATTCACTTTTTAACGATACAAATTTGTTCTATATTTTTCTGAAAGACGTACCAAGTGGATTTATAAATACATTGGAATGGTTTAGTGAGAAATACCTTTAGGCTCTTATCTAGACTCCATTTTAATAAGGTTTTGAAAAAAAATATGTATTTTGAAAATAGTAATTTTTTGAAAAATGTAGGATTAATAAAAAAGAAAAATTTTTGGGTTTACATATAATATTATTCAGTTGTATTATATGTACATAATGATTAACATAATGCTTACATACACATGATATAATAAAATATGATTGAGTCAGAACTCTTTTAACAAAAAAAAAATTCTTCACTCTTTTTGATATCTCGTATGTATGTAAATCATTATCTAACTCCATTACGTATAAATAGTATTATTCATATTATTATATTGAAAAATGTATGATTGAAAAGAAAAAAAGAGAAAAATGAATTAAATTTACACACCACCCCGTTGCACTATGGGCATGTTCGATAGAGATTTTGAGAATAAATTATTTTAATTGTTAGGAGAAAAGTGAGGACTTATGGGAGAACAAGTCAAAAATTATGTCTGGAATAGTGAAATAACGATTGAAAAAAAATCAATTTTTGCAGGTAAAAAATTACTTTCAACTGGGGCCTATAAGAGCTGGCTATGCCTGAAATCGTTACCTTAACCGCAAGGAGGAGGATGCCCAAAAGCAAGGCTAGTGACTCTAGTAAAATTGCAACAAGTTAAGAGTATTGAAAGGTGGTATTGAATCACCTCCTTTTCATAGAGAGCTAACGCTCGTAGGATATTTTGGTTCGAAGAGCAGTTCTATTCCATGGAGTCAATCAGTTGTCTCGACTCTCGAGAATGCATTTAGAAGTCGCATTTTAACGAGCGGTTTTTGGCGTGTTTTGTTCCACTGCACCCGAAACGTACGGACCATTGTCGTGAACCGTTGTTTTCGGTTCACATTTTCGGTCATTGGCACCATCATTCGTTTTTCTCCACAATTTCCCGCAAATAGAGAGGCTCGAAAACCCTTAAACCCTAAATTTCCAACCATTCACTCTAACACTTCAGTATCAGTACGATGAATGATTCATAACATAAATTTTCCCTAATATCAATTCATCGATAATTGAAGTTCCCTATTTACTCAGGTGCCTGTATTACAGTTTGGGTGAACTGTGGGCTGTGATTTTTATTTTTTAATTTTTTTTTTTCTGGTTTAAAAATGGCGAGGCTTCTTCGAAATGCGTCTTCTCTGAGGCGCTCTTTGTTTCCACAGTTACAGGTCTTTCTCTTCTTATAGCTTTCTATTTGTTTTGTTTTCTCTGTTCCTGTAAGTTTCTCTTCATTTTAAAAAAGTAAAGAAAATGGAATTTTTAAAAGATTTTTTTCATTAACATTTAAAACACCATTATATGTTAAATGTACTCGCTTTATAAATATATAGCCGGGTTTTTCTTTTTATATGGACTTCATAAGTCAAAAATAGGAATTTGAATCCAAGAATCACCCCCCCCTTCAATTCCGTTAATTTTTTATGTGTTTTAAGTTTGTAATGGATGGATATTTGTTAAGCCGGAAGTTTTTATGTGGTTTAAATATTTGGTTTTTATGTTTCCAGGAATCTAGGCACGGTATATCAAAACCAACCACTCAACTATGCTACTTTGCGACCAAAGGTGCAGAAAGTTTCTCTATATTATTGTTCCTGGATTTATTGGGATCTCTTTTACTTGCTCTTAAATAAGTGATATAGATGAATTTTTATTTAGTACTTACTTTAGCCAAAAAAAGAAAACAGCATGTATGTATATCTGGTCCTAAAGCGTTTATAGATCACGTGTATCTCACAGAAACTCTTTATGAAAAATGATTTGAGTTGTATTCTTACAGTCCACATCGAGTGGGGTATTTGTGTAAACTAAGTGCGCTGGTATTTGGTATCTAACCTTTATATTTTGGAAATGCTATGATGATGCGTGTACAAGCATTTTTTCAGCAGATTTGTGATCAGATTCTCCAAGTCACACCTGCATATTGAAGTAGTTCCTAGGCATTGATTGTATCCGTACTAATGTGTTCTGTCACAATGATATTGGTTAAAATTTTCCTATGCTGTTGAATGGGCGATTTGTGGTAAAGTGGTATTAGCTCTTCCAACTATTAACTTTGTAGTTGAATAATTACGCAGTTGCATTTCCACCTGCTGAATCTCATTCTGGATTAGTATTATGTTGATAGTTACTTGTGCACATGTAACTGCATGTAGAAAGGGGCCCACAAAGTTTTCGTGGAGTTCTTAATCTGGGGCCCACGAAGTTTTCGTGGAGTTCTTAATCTGGGGGAACATTGATTTCAACTCCTTGATGCTGATTTCCATGATTAGATCCTTTCTTTCCTTGCTTAGGTCTATTTGAATGATTGGTATAGTGTATTAGTCTTAGTTCTTCCGAAGTTATGTATACGTTATTTTCTTATATCATTACTGAGCTGTTCCAAGGTTTCTTAAAATATCATGTCTGAGAAGTTATGTGGTTCTTTCTTTCATTCTTTCTTGGTTTTTCTTTTGAATTAAACATCAAAAATTAATATTCAGCATTTCCGTGTGTACGAAGGTAAAAGGAAATCAAAGTTAGATTCAAGTGATTCTGGTGAAGAGAATATGTCCCAGAAAGATTTAGCCCTCAAGCTAGCTGTCGATCAGATTACTTCATCATTTGGAAAAGGATCCATCATGTGGCTTGGTAGGTCAGTCACTCCGAGGCAAGTTCCTGTGGTGTCTACTGGATCTTTTGCTTTGGATGTTGCACTAGGAGTAGGAGGACTTCCTAAGGTATCTTACTGCGTTTCAAAGCATTAATATTTTGGTCTACATGCCGCAATTGTCTACATGAATTTTTACTTACATATTTTCTTCTATGGTAGAATTTGATTCCTAGCTTTGTACGAGTCAGATATGAAGAATATATCATTGTATTGTTTGGGATAGGCATTTGAAGGATCAGAGATTCCTTCATTGAGCCCTTTATCATAGTTGTAGTTGATGATGTTTTGGGATTGGTTGTCTGAGTGCATACTTGTTCATTAATAGAGTTTCCTTCAAACTGTATATTGTGAGATAAGTATAATTTAACAGTATGGCCGTTTCTTGCTAATGACTTTTCACATCGTGGAAGTGCTTAGTGATGATAGTTATCATCATCCAATGAGTACACGAATAAATTTTTTTGATGATTAATAGATTGGGATTCTGACAGTTAATGATATTTTCCTTTTTTATTACATTTTCTCAGCTGCACACCTGATTCATTTATTTGATTATAACCTTTTCTGGGATGGAATACACTCCGCGTTTGTTGTATATACAAAAGGGCACATGTTATTTACTTTATTAGTTTATATTACTATGTGATTATATATAGCTATTAATTTGTTTAGGGACGAGTGGTTGAGATATATGGCCCAGAGGCATCTGGGAAAACAACTCTTGCTTTGCATGTGATTGCTGAGGCACAGAAACAAGGAGGTTAGTGAGACCATTTTACCCCATTCGACTTTTGTATGTCGTACAATGGCTTGGAGGAAAATGTTTATTCTTTAATTATTCTTTTTAGTGTACGGTCTTCACCAGTCTGGCAATAGATAGATTTATCTATTTTTACTAGTGTCAGAGCATATTATTGACAGTTCAGTGTTCAAGAATTCGCTTGAGTGAAGATACATGCAGGGGTTTCCTTTTGTGTGATTTTAATGGTTTTAGTCACCAAACCCAAAAAGCACATGCTATCTATCAATTATTTAGAAGATTGAATTGATACAGGGTAATTTTGGTGTTAAAAGCTGCCCATTTCTGTTTTCCAGCATAGGTATCTGATCCATACCATATCTTGTAATAATTTTCGTGACACCTGAAATTCGATTGTAGACATGTTGGCTCCATTCACAGAGGAAATTTATGTACATCGAAGCTGAAATTAGCTCTTTCAATTCTTTATGGCATCGTAGCTTACAGTTTCAAATAAAACTTCTCTGTATTTGACAGTGATTTTAATAATTTCATCTTTAATCTGCTTTCAATAAAAACTTACTAATTGTGGCGAACTTAAAATTTATGTTTGAGTAATCCCTATGTGAGCCTCTATGGATTGAATGACTCTATACAATCACCTTGATTGGCATCTTGTCAATCTTAATTCTTTTAGTAGTGGCATTATGAAAATGGAAAGAGGCATGGAAATTGTGGCAGGAGTCCTAAAGCCCATTTCCATCAGTAGCTAGGCCTTGGAACTGATCAAGTCTTAACTCAACTAGGGGTGAAATCTCTTAAAGTTCATTTCGGAAGTGGGCCTCATTTTAATAGTGTTCTTTACCTAAGTATTGAATTTTCTTTTCCGTTCTAGCTTTAAGTTGCCCTTTAAGAAGTCGCTTTAGTGAGTCTAAAACTGTTCTTTACCCAAGTATTGCATTTTCTTTTCTGTTCTAGCTTTAAGTTGCCCTTTAAGAAGTAGCTGTAGCATGCAACAAGTTCTTTTTATTTTTTCCTCCAATAGAAAATTAAAACTTCATCTGGGCTTGAATACCATTGAGGGACTTCTATTTTGGTATGTGGAATATGGGTGTCCAAGTATGGAACTGAGATAAAGAGGGGTAATGATGATGAAGTCTAGGAGGTGTAGAATACAATCGAACAAGAATGAGACTGAGAAAGAGAGAGGAAAAGAGAGGAAGAGAAGAGGAGGGAGATAACAGAGAGAATTTAGAGAAAATATTAGTTTTATTCAATATGCATAAGACCCTTTTATATAGGATTTAAATTAGTCCAATTTAAGTTGGACAATGCTAGAAAATCCATTGAATAGAACCCTAATCATGTTTTCTAAAACAAGTATCCAATTTGGAAGGTAAACTACTAATGAGCTACTAGAAAATCTATTAAATAAAACCCTAATTACGTTTTTAAAATAAATATCTAATTTGGTACCAAATAGTACTCGACTAAGGCGAACTGCAACTTTATTTTTCAAGGAGCCTGAGCTTTTGTTCAACCAAGTATTGGCATTTAGTCTTGATAGCAGCCTAGGCGATCTTTCTGATTGACAAATATTGATAGCAAGCTCTTGAAAGTAGTATATAGTGCAATTCATCTACAAAAACAGCAACTGACTTCACATAAAGAGGAGTGCAAGGGACTAGCACTACAGTGTGAGGTGGTCCACCTTGAGACAACAAACATATAGGTGGCATGAGGTGGTCCACCTAAAGCCCAAAGGCACGACCTACTATTTTGGTTGTATGAGTCCACCGATTTATAACAGATACTATGCCTCTCTTGACGAGCTAGCGGACATCTTACTACTGGACTAGATAGAACAAAGTATCTAGTCCGTACTACAAGTTCCCATAGTCTGTCAAATATGGTAGTCAGTGTGCATGAGTCTGAAGATCATTATGGTTAAGGACATAATGCCTAAGGAATATTTGAACTAGAAAACACTGTATAAATGACATGGAATATTTGAACTAGAAAACACTGTATAAATTACATGGATTCCTTCTCTCTTTCAATTGCTCTCAAGTATGACATCATATCACATCTCTTGCACAAGCTTTCACTTCTGTTTCCTGTTGTCCTTTCATAGGTTACTGTGTCTTTGTTGATGCTGAGCATGCTCTTGATCCGGCCCTTGCCGAAGCAATAGGAGTGAATACTTCAAATTTGCTTCTTTCACAACCAGATTGTGGTGAGCAAGCTCTTAGCCTTGTGGATACTCTAATCAGGAGTGGTTCAGTTGATGTTGTTGTTGTGGATAGTGTAAGTATGATGATATGGTTCTCCATATAATATCATGGGCTTGGTAAATGGATTGCATTTTTCTTGCGATATAGTCATTATTGCATGGTTGCATTGGCTGGCAGGTAGCTGCCCTGGTCCCCAAGGCTGAACTTGATGGTGAAATGGGAGATGCGCACATGGCCATGCAAGCTAGACTGATGAGCCAGGCACTACGCAAATTGAGCCACTCTTTATCTCAATCGCAGACAATCTTAATCTTTACAAATCAGGCATGGAGCACAAACCTTTATCATATTCGGTTATCTTTAGTCATGCATTTACAGCCCAACTGGAGCATCCAAAATGCTTTATATTTTTGAACCTGGTGAACTGCGTCACATAATCACATTTATTATTGTAGTGGTGGTATTTGCTTGTTAGGTATGTAGTTTGGTTCTCAAATTGAATCATATTTTCCCTTTCCCTTTTATTCTTCTTCTTTGATACGTGTCTAGTGCTTTTCTTTTTGGTTTATTCTCCTTCCTTGTTGTAGGAACCTTTTTGTTCAGTGAGAGGGGAGAGAAATTTATTTTATTTATTTTGTGTGGGGATGGGAATTATCTTGATCAACTAGATGGAAATTACCAATATTTTTAATTAAATGTTCAAAATTGAATACCCCATACACGGGTCCAAAACTTCTTAGATCCTCTTAGTTATATGCATATTTGGCTGTTTTGCTGAGAATGCCTTCAAATTAATACAACTAGAATCCTGTTCTAGTACCTGCATCAGACTTCCTAGGTTTTCTCAAGTGCCACAATTCTTACCCCAAACTCGTATCATGAAACAAGGGATGAGGGAAGATGATGACGACAAATCATATATATATGAGAACTTTTCTATATTTGTTTTTCAAAAATTCTCTTTTGTCCAGGTGGGGGTTTTGGCATTGACCCTTCCCACGCTTATTGATCGAAAAAAAAATTGGTGCATGATAGATGTGGATATATCAATGATGTGAACTGTTGCAGGATGTACCCTTAAACTAACTAAAATTAGAAAAAAGCTAAAATGGACCCCTAGACAAGGAATTTGGTCCTAAAAGCTTGACAATGTCATCAACAAGAACGTACAGAATCGAAAAACTCTTATGGATTGTACTAACGGACCAAAATTTGATAACCGAACTGAAAGTTATGTGTATTTTTGTGCATTTTCCTTATTTCTTCACTTTTCTAATTGGTTTAAGATTTTCTCTTATAATTGATTCGCATTATAAATGATCATATGATTCTCATCATTCTTTCCTTTGTTAAAAGGATTCAACCTTGAATAGTCACCTTTATACCACATGCTATCCTTTTTAGGCACAAGTAGCAATGGCACTGCACATTATAAAGGATCATTGCTAGCTTGCCATCCGTGATTCTCATCAATCAATCTTATCTTTATTGCTACAAAAGGGGGAAAAACAAGGGGGGGGGGGGGGGGGGGAAGAAAAACAGAGAATTTTCAAAACTTATAAACTTTGGAGTACTACTCCCATTATATAGAACTTTTTACCAAGTTTTTAAACATGGGAGTACTAGATCCATTATTGCTTCTATTGATTGACAAAAAATGGTCAATGAGGGAGGTGGATTTACCAACCTTATCTAAACAGCTACGAAAGGAGGAGATAGAGAGAACTTGCTAATTCTGAACTTGAAAGTGTACCACTCCCATCAATAGAACCTGCACTGAATTTCTGAACTCTATGTCCATTGCTATTTGTCTGATGAGATCTAAAGATTAGATTGGACCACAGAATGTATACATCAGGGAAAAGAAAGAAAAAAAAGGAAAAAAAAAAAAAAAAAAAAGAAAAAAAAAAAAAAAAAAACTGCAATCCAGATAACAAGCATGTAGCAATAAAACAATTCTGCGGAGCAAGTGAAACTGCAACCTTTGTGTATGTACAATCCACTGTGCAGGTAACTAATCCAGTGTAACTAAAGTATGTTAAAATGAAAGTTGCACAAATAAGATATGCAAACCAGAGAAATGTGCAAACCAACACGAGATAACCATGCTGTATGTCTCACCTAAATATGCTGCTTATACACTAACATCCTATAAGAAGGAAAAAACTCCCCAAAGCAATCCAAAAGAACATACTGACAGAAGAAGACACACTCGGAGGCAAATCCAAAAATCCTAGTCGGCAAAGCCATCAGAGCTAATTAAAATTTTCCTCTTTAGAGCGTGAGAGTACTTGGGTTGGAACCCTCATCAGAGCTATTAAATTCATCATCACCCCTAATGCTCCAACAAAATATGAGAACTTGAAAGATGCCATAATCCAATGAAAGCCATAAAGAGAGAATAAGTTAAAACCTGTAATATGTAAACTTTGCTTCAGTGATTCCTTGAATTCCTAATGGTTTTCTAGAACCTTCGCAACAAAGATCATTCATTTCTAAGTACATTATATGTTGATTTTACAAAAGATGACAATTTCGTATCAGCAGTAACATCTTTCTGACTCATTTCTAGTTTAGGGTCTTCTCTTGATTTTTACGAGGAGTCAGGTAGAAATAGAATATGCATTTTTATTTGATCATTTCAGGGGAAATTCAGTTGAAATGCTATAGATTTAATTGGAGAGTTGAATTGTTGGACTGGTTGAGTTTAGATGAAAGTGAGAAAATTTAATAGAAAGATGTTTATGAGCCCAATGGAAGAATATATACCTTTTGACTTGTTTTTTTCTCTATTACGGAAAGTAAGCAAGGGTTCTTCCTCTTTTCTCTTCTTTTCATCTCACCCCAAACAATGTGTGGGAAAATAGAGATTGCGGTGGGCGGTAGCTCAATGGTGAAAACTGTGGATTAGTACCTAGCTAATGATATGGATTAAAGAAATAGTTTGTATTGCAGAGAGCAATTAATAACGTGAAATAAGAAACCCAAAACAATAATGACATGAGATTTAACGTTTTTAACCCTCAATGTGAGAGCTATTGCACCAGGTGCAATTGTCGAATTGCACTATATCAAAGAAAAGGACTATATTGTGTTTTTGGACACATGCTTCTCTGTTTCTTCTCTATTATGATACGTTGAATGAAGGCTCATCCTACTACATGTTTGAATTTTCCAAAGTATCCCTATGACACTTAAAAAATCTTGCCTTGGGACTCCTGCCCCTGAACATTCTCCGCATATCGAATCATGGTTGAGTGAAAAAATGTATAGTATATTAGTTTCTGCACATCCAATGTCTAAGAGGATATTCTTGATTTATTATTCTTTCTTTGAACTACTAAATTTTGCTTGTATAGACCACAATTTAATGTTTCACTCTCTCACCCACAATTTTGAACTATAAGCCCAGATTTGATTTGAACTAGTCCTGAGCATGTCATATTATGAAGTGAGTGTTCAGTAGGACCAAATAAAGAGAGAAATAAAAATGCTCAGTCATACCCTAATTCCATTTTTGTTGGCAGTTTTTATATTTGGGGCATTCATTGCACAAACTGTGTAAATGTCCTTGTTTCGTAGACTTCTGTAAACTTCCTTGCATTCTATGCTTGTAGTTTGGATGTCGCTAAGGTGTTTGTACATAATTCCTCATTCAAATCGGTTGCCTAATAATCTCGTTTATTTAAATCTAGAGATAAAACGCTCTCAACATTTATCATTAGTTGCTCTTGGTTTTGCCTGTGCTTAGAGATGAAATTTATCACATTCTTCTGTTTTTGGTTTTTCTTAATTTCCTTTGTGATTATGACGCGGGTGTGTTCAGGAGGAGGACATAACACGAGGGATGAGAAGTCTAAGATTGAATTATCTATCTCTTGTTGAAGCAAAAACAATTTTTTCTTCCTCTTAACAGTGTTTTAAACCAGAAATATATGGCTATGGACATTTGCTACGTGTAACTTGAAATCTAGTAAAGAATTTCACTTTCCAGCCACTTTCCTCTCCTCCCAAATTTCCCTCAAGACAAAAAATGGAGAAGTAAAATTCCTTTAATTTTCTTCTCTCCCGTACTCTTCATACTTCTTCTTGTACCAACAGTTAAACAAGTACATACATATCTTGCACTTTCCTGTTTCCAGCCTAAGATGTGAATCAGGAGGTCTGTTATGAGTACTATTTCACTTGAGCTATAATTCCTGCATAGACCTATAATTTACCTTATTTTGATGAAAGCTTTGACAATTACATGGAGCAAAGCTCTTTTCTTCATTTGTCTTGAGAATTGTAATATTTAAATTTATGAGTTGGTATTTATAAACTACTTTTATTTTCAGGTGAGAGCGAAATTATCGACTTTTGGAGGATTTGGTGGCCCCGTTGAAGTTACCTGTGGTGGTAATGCCTTGAAATTTTATGCTTCAGTTCGTCTGAATATTAAGAGAATAGGGCTTGTCAAGAAGGGAGATCAGGTAGGAATCTCTCGTGCACATTATGGATATATTGGACATGTTTGCTTGCTTGGAATCTGATCGATTACGTGACACATCCTGTTCTGGGCCTGACTTCTTCTAATACGCCCTAAGCTGTAACACCTTGGTTTGGTTGTTTGGCTAGATTTAATTTGTCAGAAGATGATCAGTTTATTATTGAAAGCTTAAATCTTTTAGATGATTGTCTAGGATAATTTTCATGCTTTTTCAGAAAGTTCCTGAGAGTGTAAATATGTATTATCCTCTGTTGGAAGGATGACACTTTGGATGAAGTTTAACTTTTAGTTATCTCTTTGTTTTACAGACTATAGGAAGCCAAGTTGTCGTGAAGATTATAAAAAACAAACATGCACCTCCATTTAAAACGGTTGAATTTGAGCTTGAATTTGGGAAGGGGATTTGTAGGGTGGTGGAGATCATAGAATTGGGATGCAAACACAACTTGATCAAGAAAGCTGGCGCAATGTATTATGTGAATGATCAGATTTTTCGCGGTAAGGATGCTATTAAAAGATACTTGTCTGAAAATGAAAGTGCACAGGAAGAAATTATGGTGAAACTGAGAGAGAAGCTTATTGATGCGCGACCAGACGAGGAAACTCAGTCCGATGTAGGGGCTATTGGTGGAGACTCCATGGAGGAGGTTGTAGACGAGGAAAATAAGTCCGATATAGAGGCTATTGGCGGAGACTCTGTTGAGGATGTCATTGTCTCTGACAGTACCGATGAAGAAGTTACTGCCGTTGAGGCACAAGTGTGAATGACCTCAAGATGTAAGTCCTCATCCCATTTTCTTCACCAAATGAAGGCTACTTATCGTGCTTTGCAAGATTCGGCATTTCTGTGTGTGCATAGAATCGACCGAAGTAATTGATAGCACGTAGGGGAGCAGTTTCCGTATATAATAGCACAACCTCTTCTGTTGTAACGGATATCTGTATTTCGACGCGATTCCTTGCAAGTTAAACATGCTGCATACTTAGGGTCATGTTGATGAAATTGTATGGGTTCAAAGGAACTTTAATAGCTGAGCTGTTGCCAATGCCAGTCATTTAAGTCGTCTCTCTCCTGCACTAACGAAAATATTGCACCTTTTGATTATTATTATTTTTTATTTCTGCACAATTTTTCATTTTGTTCTTAAGTTTGATAGCTAGCTGGTGCTAATGCATCGCCCTTACAGTGCTTTGAAGGATGTGTGTAACAGTGTTTTTTAATTTTTAATATATAGATTGTCACAGGGTCATGAGGCTAAGTTTTTCTTATCTTATAATGTGTATTCGCATGATTGGTACGTACAGAAGATAATATTAAATTCGATTCAATCAAATCAACAGAAAACATTAAGCCCTCGTTTGGCCCCCATTATTTGGGTTTATAATGGAGGGAATAATATTTTTTTGAAAAATGGATGGTTGTTAAGAAAAAAAAATGAAAACTTTTTGATCTGTGTATAATATTATTTTATTAAAAATTGTGTTGTTGAAAATGGGAGAGAGAAATTTAAATTAAATTGAAGAGTTTTAAAGGGGGCAAATGGGGCAAAGGATTTATTATGTTTTTATTTTGCAATGCAACAAAACACGGCGCAAAATTACAAGAGCTGACTCTGGCGTTTTCTCAAGAAAGAGGAAAAGCTAGTAAATTGCTAAGTAAGGTCTTCTACCAGACAGCCGCTGCTTTGATTCTTCCAAGTTGAAAGCAAATGAACTTTATTCTTTCCTGATTTTGGGCACAAAACTTGACATATTTGAGGGAGGAAAATTATTTGAAAATTTCCCCCAAAAAAAAAAAAAAATTTTAAAAATGAAAAAGAAAATGAAACTATACCCCCATTATCTTTCATTTTTTCCTCTCTTATTTTCAATCGCACAATTTTCGGTAAAATAATATTACACGTTAATTGAAAATTTTTCATTCTTTTTAAACCATATATTCTTCGAAAAAGCACTACTCCAAACGATAAAATTTGGAAAAAAAATGGGGGCTGAACGGGGCAGACATAGCATAGGAAAGAGCTACAAAGTTCAAACTTGTATAAACATATCAAGATGGAGTGTAAAATAATGAATGAACCACAATTGCAGAACAAACCAAATTTCTTGAACTCTTTAAACAATAACCATATTTGAGAAAAGAAAAAAAAGGAGAATCATCTCAATCACATTCTTATATTGACATATTTGAGGGAGGAAAATTATTTGAAAATTTCCCCCAAAAAAAAAAAAAAATTTTAAAAATGAAAAAGAAAATGAAACTATACCCCCATTATCTTTCATTTTTTCCTCTCTTATTTTCAATCGCACAATTTTCGGTAAAATAATATTACACGTTAATTGAAAATTTTTCATTCTTTTTAAACCATATATTCTTCGAAAAAGCACTACTCCAAACGATAAAATTTGGAAAAAAAATGGGGGCTGAACGGGGCAGACATAGCATAGGAAAGAGCTACAAAGTTCAAACTTGTATAAACATATCAAGATGGAGTGTAAAATAATGAATGAACCACAATTGCAGAACAAACCAAATTTCTTGAACTCTTTAAACAATAACCATATTTGAGAAAAGAAAAAAAAGGAGAATCATCTCAATCACATTCTTATAATGCACTATACTATTCTTTCCAGAATTACACAACTTCGTAAACAAAAATTCATTTCTTTTTAAATTATTTATTCACAAGAAACTAACTCTTCCTTTCAAATTGAAATTCAAGACTCAGATGGAAAAACAAGGACGCATAATTTACCCATCTCCCTTACATCTGATCAGTTAAAAATCAAAATTCATTTCAACAAGATTTAAGCTTCTTCCATGATCCACCCCACAAGTATCTTTATCCCCCCACCAGATCTTTAGTTCTGTCGCCCTATAATACCCAGAGCAAATGTATTATTAAAATATGTTGTACATTTCTAGACTAACATTTAAACCTACACAACCTTCGGAAATAATAAAGTCGAGGGGCTGATTTTGTATTTAAAAAATAAACAAGCCTCTAGATGAAAAATATGGGCCACAAATTTTTGTAATGGACAGGTGTGAAGGCTATAAATAGGCACCGGGTCTTCAATTGTAAATAAGCCAATCAAAGGCACTATGCCCCCATTTGATTTTCATTATTTATCCATTAAAATAAAAAATATGACCGTTATTCATCATATTAAGCTACCATATTTGACTTTCTATTTCTTGTGTGGGATCGATAATGACTATATTTTTTATTTTCATTTTTACATCAATATGTACCAAACGGGCCTATGAATATTAAAGAGAGCTTTCCTACATCTACTATCCATCAATCATTTGCCATCTTGTCTCACTCCTTTAATAAAAAAACCATTCATATAAAAAAATTCATCATACTAGCGTGCAAAACATATTTTTTTACAACCTTTATCCAAAATCACTTAATCCTTAGAGCTACAGGCCCCGCCCCATCTCTACTGGATCTGTTTGACGAATCTTGAACTACGAAATAGACCATAGAAGCTGAAAAAGGGTATCCTGAGCAAATGTTGTTTCTATTCCTTGTCTAGTAGGACCAAAAGAATCGTTTGTTTCGATTGGGGGGTAGGGGTGCATGCTAAGTGTATATATGTCGTCAAATATTCAGAATCACGTTAACCCCTTTTCTCAAAATCATTTATCTTTATTTTTATAAATGAATACAAAATCGACAGTGATATTAGAGATAAGTTCAATATATCAATTCCTTTGGATCTATTGCAAATTTCAATTTAAGTAGAAAATTCTCTTTATAGACATTTTTTATAGGGTGTAGGCCTCCCAAAAGGTAATGGAGGCGTGCAAAGGATTCCTCGTTTAAAATGAAATTACTTCTCCAAGTTAACCAAATGTTGGAGATTCTTGAAAGTTGAATCTTTTTGGTTAACTTGAGCAGTGGCCTCGATAGATAGATTTGCTTCGATAGGATGCGAAGGAATAAAATCGATCACAGAAGCTGAAGGGGTTTTGACAGTAGGAATATAATCTATTATTGAAGCTATGTCAGTTGAGTCCTTCGGAGATAGTGTCTTTATAAGAGGAAAAGTAGCCGAAGTCTCGCCAACTATCTGAGAAGGTTCGAAAGATGGAGTCTCAAATGTATCAATCTCTCGAGCTTCATGGAAGGTCAGACCCTACTTAGGATGGAAAACCTTATATCTGCATCCCATCCTCATAAATAGAATCTTTCCGAGTTTCAATTAAGCCAAGTTGGACTCTGCTATGGCAATCTTTGTTACGTGTCAATACACTCGGTCGACCTACTGGGGCCCATGGCTCAACCATGCTGAACCACATGACATTTCGCTGAGGCCCCCCTGAAGTCAATGAAGATTGACCGACACCAGCAAACAGCTCCTATGACGTGGCCCAGGTTCTGTATGCCGAAGTGCAGTTACCGAGGTGGTATACATAGCCGAGGCTCTTCATACCGAGGCCCATTATATCGAAGCCTATGACGACTGGTGTCACACCTCCCTAGAGATTCGGTCTTACACAAGAATCCTCTTCAAATGATTGATGGGACACCCACCATAGAGTGCAATTGCCTTGTTTTGTCAAAGTAACGACGATATACCAATTAATAAATGTATAACAGGCTAGGTGGTAAAATTTGATATCTACAATTTGACATGTAAACTAACAAGATGAGGCCACGTGTACTCCCAATCGAGGGCCACGATTTAATTTGTAACACTATAAATACTCCCCCATGTACTCCGTACAAAGCTAATGCAAGATTCAACACAAGAACAATTACTACACAACACTCTTTACATTTTATTCTCTTGCAATATACACGAGTTCATATACAAGTCCTACAAACACGATTGGTAATTATTGTTCAATTGTTATGTGAATGTCTTGTCAGATTCTGAATGTTCTCGTCCCACGCCTTTGAGTCACTCCCACGCCTTTGATTTACTAGTTCTAGACCGTCCACGTGTCTTAACTTGTTGGACTAGGTTTACGTGTGCATGGGTGGGTCCGATATCTGTTGGCAACATTATTTGAGGTCAACAGATTGACGCTGTCTGTGGAAAATCATACCATAATCACGGGCAATCGTGTGGTGAAAGCTGACTGAAAGGAGAACATTTGAATGGAATCCCTCTTGAAATATGATTTGTTCTTGAAAAAGAGTAAGAGGAAACCCCATAAGTTCGAAAAACTTGAAGTTGAAACCTAGAAGAAGAAATGAGCTTAAATGAGGATGTACCCCCCAGGAGGGTAAGAGAAAATGCAAGGTTAACCCTACCGGCAGCTACCCCGGCAGCTCGTCACAGGCCCCACCACCATCACCGGAGAGGTGGTACAAGAATGGTTGTCCAAATCTCAAGGGAAATGGCTGCCATGGCAGCTGACATGAGAAACATCGCGAGCCAAAATATGGCAATGAGAGAACTCATGGCCCAAATATAGGGCTAGAGAGGTTTCCATATACCTCCTTATGCATCCCAATGGCAATACTAACAAGAGGAAGAGGTCCGACGCGAAAGGGTTGCATTAGCGGAATACAACCAGGGTGGTATTCTCCTGGAAAGGGAAGTAGAAGTTGACGTTTCTTCCAACTATGCTTCAGGCCTACCTACTGAGGTCCCATATAACCAGGATAACTTTCCACTTGCATACGAGCCGGAACAAAGACCAGGAGGTCAAACAGTATTTTTGACAGAATTAGCCCAGCCAAGCCGAGGCACAGGCAGCAACAATAGCTTCGTGAGCCTCGGACGAGGCCACAGCCCCCACCTTCAATGACTCAGTAGCCGGAGGAAAGGTATGAAGATGCTCCCGTGTTGCTCCGCCTAGAAATAGGCATCAAAGGAGGGAGGAGGAGACTAGGAACTAGACTGGTACATCACATCTACTAACCAGATATGAGGCTAAAGAAAATAATGACTCAGATGAACAGCAGAGGTCCCGTGACCTAGATGATAACAATGAAAATCTGTCATTTTCAAGGGAGTTAAGGAGTGCCTAGGTACCAAGCCACTATGCTATGCCTAAAATACTAAAATATGATGGAAGAGGCGACTTGGAAAAACACTTGAACGCTTATAAGACAACTTTGACGGTGAAGTGTAGGGCCTTCCACTTGACACTTAGTGGAGCCGCTGAAATTTGGTATAGCAGGCTGCCACCTGGGAGTATAAGGAGTTGTCCAGAGTTCAAAACCACTTTTCTGAAGAGATTTGCTGTGAGTGATGAAGGAGAGGCCCTGATCCAGCA